TAATTAAACAGGCAATATTACATCAGATATCACAGAAACACAAACAAGAAAACCTAGTTTTACTGAGTTGGACAAATTTCTGTACATATACAATTTATTTAGGTTAAACTAGGAAGAAATTGAATACCGGAATAGACCAATGCCAAGCAACGAGGTTGAACCAATAACCAATAGTCTCTCAACAAGAAAAAGTCCAAGTCTTGATGGCTTTGCTCCTGAATTCCACAGAACTTTGAAGAAGAGTGAACTTCAGTTTCCTTCAAACTATTTTTAAGGATTCATTAGAAGAAACATTCCTAAACTTATTCTATGATGCCTACATCACCTTAATACAAAAAGCAGCAAAGGACACAATAAAAAAGGAAAACTACAGACACGTTGGAAAAAACTATACACCATGACCAGGTGGCCTTTATCCATGAGATTCAAGAATGATTGAACACTTGCAAAATAATAAATATTATGTAAGATATTAACAGAAGGAAAGATAAAAGCTATACTGACTGCATCAATTAGTACAGAAAAAGCATTTGATAAAATACAACATCCCTTCATAATTAAAACTCTCAATAAAATAAGTATAGAAGGTGCCTTTCTCAACAAAATAAAAGCTAAAGGACGAATACATAGGTAGCATCATATTGACTGGGGAAAATCTGGAAGCTTTCCTGCTAAGAACTGAAGCAAAAAAAAGGCTACTCACTTTCTCCACTACTACTTTTCAACCTAGTGCTGGAAGTATTAGTCAATTCAATTGGCAAGAGAGTAAGATAAAAAGCATTAAAATATGAAAAGAGGTAAAACTGTTCCTATTCACAAATGACATGATTACGTATATAGAAAATCCAAATGAATCTTCAAAGAAATTATAGAAGTGATAAATGAATTCAGTAAAGTGACAAGATACAAAAATCATTATACAAAAATCTATAGCATGTCTAAATGCCAACAATGAACATGCTAAGGCAGAAGGGAAGAATGCAATCCCATTTACAATAACCACAGACTCACATACACATACACAAACACATGCAAATAAAATATCTTGGAATAAAACTAACAAAAGAGATAGACAATTGAACAAACACCTCTACAAGTGAAACTATGAAAAACTGAAAAAAGAAATTGAAATCAAGCAGCTCACCCACAAAAAAAGAAAGAAAAGAAAATCCAATAAAAATTAGGCAAATGAGCTACACAGATAGCTGAGAAAGGCATATAAATGTTGTAAAAGCATATGAAAAATGTTCAATGACTCTTATCATAAGGGAAATGCAAAACAAAACCACACAGTAATACCTAACTCCAGTCAAAATGACTATGACAAAATAAATAAAGAATGACAAGTGACAGTAAGACTGTGGTGAAAAGAGAACCTTCTTAAACTGTTGATGGGAATGTAAATTAGTATAGCCACTGCAGAAAACAATATGGAGGTTTCTCAAAAACTTACAAAAGAAACAAATATGACCCAGTAATTTCTCTCCTTGGTGTTTACCCAAAGGACAGGAAAGCATCCTGTCAGAAAGTCACTTGCACATCCACGTCTATTGCATTATTTACAATTGCTAAGCCATGGAATCAAACTAAATGTCCAAGAATAGAAATTCAGATTAAAAAATGTAGCACATATACACTATGGAATACTACTCAGCCATGAAGAATAATGAGACCTTGTCATTTGATATAAACTGGATGGATGTTAAATATTTGATGCTGAATGAAACAAGCCAGACTATGAAAGACTTTGTATATCCCTGCTCAATACATACCAATGTCTGCACCCTATGTCAGAAACTGAAAGATTAAAAAATATAATAGTAGAGATGGTAAGTGTAGATATCAGAGACTGTATAGGAGGGTAGTGGACAATAGGGGATAGGTTGGAGGAGGTCAGGGAAAAATATTTAACAGATAAAAGAATGTAAAATTCTTTGTTGAAAATGTTAAGTATGGTAGTATCTTTGATTTGATTGTCAGACACTGCATGCATAGTTTAAAAAACATATTGTACACTATAAAGATGTACAATGATTAAATGTAATTAAGAAATCATAAAATTAAAAAAGTGATGACTGAACTGCTGAACTGCAAAATTTCAGAGATATTATTTTATTAATTAATTAATTTTTTATTTCAAGTTCTTTTTTTTTCTGAGAGGTTTTTGCTACAGAGCACGTGCGCTTACCAGAAAGACAGAGACAGACAGAGAGACAGAAAGCGAGAAATCACCCCCCCCCAGGGGGCATGGCCACACAGCATTTCTGGCGGTCCCTCAAGTTCTTTTTTTTTTTTTTTGAGAGTATTTATTGTTTTGTTTTGTTTTTGTTTTTGTTATAGGGTGCGTGCACTCACCAGAAAGACAGAGAGAGACAGAGAGACAGAAAGTGAGAAATTAACCCCCAAGGGGGATGGCCATGCTGCAGACCCTTCTCCTCCATTCTCCTCTCAGGATCTTGGGTACACACGCACATGCATCTGGTGTGAGTTTAAGCCACTAGGTGCGGGACTCAAACCATGGTCAACTACATGGGAGTCCAGTGGCATAGCCCTTACATTAACTGCTGGTTCCTCAAGTTCTTTTATACATTCAGTCACGTTATTTAGCTTGCAAAGTGAATATTCCAACATGTGTACATTTCTCCCCAGTCCAGTTGATAATACTATAAAGTTATCTTCAAAAGATAATGTCCATTTCTTTGTTCCATTAATACTTTGCCTCTCTATTTTTCTTCTAAACATCCTTCTTCAGACTCTCCTCCTTCACCCACCCTCTTCTCATACTATGTCTGATATTCACAACCATTTACTGTGTTTCTGTATCCTTTAGTCATTCAGTCTCAGTCATAGAGTGTGGACACTCTGTACATATTAAGTGGGGACATACAATGTCTCTCCTTCATAGTCTGGCTTTTTTTTTTTTTTGAGAGGTTTTCGCTATAGGGTGTGTGCGCTCTCCAGACAGAGAGAAACATAGAGACAGAAAGCGAGAAATCATCCCCCGGGGGGGATGGTCACGCTGCAATCCCTTCTCCTCCATTCTCCTCTCGAGATCTTGGGCATGCATGCACACGCGCCTGGTGTGAGTTTTAAGCCACTGGGTCTGGGACGCGAACCGCGGTCGACTAAGTGGGAGTCCAGCAATATAGCCATTACGCTAACTGCTGGTTCCCATAGCCTGGCTTTTTAACCTGAGGCCACACACACTAACCTGGAAGTGACAAAGAAACAAAGAAAGAGAGGAGAAGTGAGTAAAAACCTTTATTGGGAATGATCACACCACAATATCTTTTTCATTTCTCCTCTTGGGATTTTGGACACACAGACACAAGTGTCCAGTGTGTTTTTCAACCTGTCAGGTCTGGGATTTGAACCTCACAGTTGGACCTAAGGGATCCAGTCACCTTAACTATCACACCATTGTTTGGCCCCTCCATAGAGGGCTTTTACAACAGAGTTGAGCAAAGAGAAAAAAGAATTCACGAACTGATCAATAATGACAGGACATTTGAAGTTACCTTTCAAAGGAATAACAACAAAAAAAGTCTGAAAAAAATGTAGAAAGCCTATGGGAATTAATGAGATACCATAAAGTAAGTCACTGTATACATTATAGATATTCTAGGAGCAGAAAAAGAGAAAGAAACAGAAAGCTTATTTAAATAATGGCTGAAAACTCTCTGAATCTGGAGAGGGGAAATCAAATATCCAGATCCCATCAGTCCAAACTACTACAAATTGATGAACTATGAATATATTTTTACTGAAGCATGTTATAATCAACTACTCAAAGCTCAAAGACAAAAAGAAAATTTTGAAAACAAGAGAAAGACAACTTTGTATGCACAACAGAACTTGTATTATTCATGGATTTCTCAGCAGAAGAGAAGAAAAAATGACAATGAGAAGTAGAAAACATTTTGAATAGTATTTTGAATATCATAAAAAACTATGATTTGCATATACCTATGAAATAAAAGACTTATTTATAACCTTAAATTCACGTATTAAAAAATAAGAGAGGTTGAAAATCTGTGATCTAATTATCTATCTGAAGGAGCTAAACACTGAATATTAAAGCTAAAAAATAGGGGGCAAAGCATTAATGGGACAAAGAAATGTGGTATTATCTGTTGAAGACATTTTATAGTTTTATCAACTGGACTAGGGAGAAATATTCAACTTTTTTTTTTTTTGAGAGGTTTTTGCTATAGGGCGCGTGCACTCACCAGAAAGACAGAGAGAAACAGAGAGACAGAAAGCAAAAAATCAACCCCCAGGGGTGATGACCACACTGCAATCCCCCCTCCTCCTTTCTCTTTGTGGGATCTTGGGCACGCATGCACACGGTGCCTGGTGTGAGTTTAAGCCACCGGGTTCGGGACTTGAACTGTGATTAGCTACATGGGAGTCCAGCGACATAGCCATTATGCCAACTGGTCCCTTCACCTGTTGAAATATCCATTTTGTAAGCCAAATAATGTGATTGAATGTATAAAAGAAAATGAAATTTAAAAATACTAAAGTATATTAGAAGAAAACAAAACAGCAAAGAAAATAACAAAAGTTAAAGACAAAACAAAAACATTTTTCCATGTTTGCTATAGGGTTTATGTGCTCACCAAAGAGAGAGAGAGTAAGAGAGAGAACATGGAAAATCTGGAAGCACTCCCTGGGGAAGGGCCGTGCTGCACTCCCTTCTCCTCCTGGGACTTTCAGCACATTAATGCAAATGCACACACACACACAGTATATTTTTTCAAGCTACCTGGCTTGGAACTCTGTGCAGTTGGCTATGTCAGATCCAGCTCCCCCCTGCCATAATCACCAGTCCATTGGCTGACCCAGAAAACATATTTTTGCCAATTAATTTGAAAATTATGATGTAATAGGCAAATTTCTTAGAAAAGAACACATATGAAAGCTTAACTAAAGAAAAATAGGAAACCTAAATCATATACATACATTAAAGGTGTTGATTCAGTAATTAAAAAACTTACCGACACAGAGAATTCCTAATCTGGATGTCTTCATTGATCATTTTTTTGAACCACCTAAAAAAGAAATAATTGTTCATAAACTCTTCAAAGAATAAAAAGGAGGAAAGATTTAGCTTGTTCTATAATGAAAGTGTAATCTTGATACCGAAAGTTCACAAAGTCACTAATAGAAAGTAAAATTATAGGCCTACATCTATCATAAACCTAGAAGTCAAAATTTCAGAAATTCTTTGGTGAATATAATACACAGGAAGGATATTATTTTCTAAGTGGAGCTTATTTTAGGTTAAATGACAATGTATTAAATTCATGTATTAAAAAATAAGAGAGGGGAACCAGCAGTTAGCGTAATGGCTATGTCACAGGACTCCCATGTAGTTGACTGCAGTTCGCATCCCGGACCCGGTGGCTTAAAACTCACGGTGGGCGCGTGTGCGTGCGTGCCCAAGATCTCGAGAGGAGAATGGAGGAGAAGGGATTGCGGCGTGACCATCCCCCCTGGGGGATGATTTCTCACTTTCTGTCTCTATGTCTCTCTCTGTCTGTCTGGCGAGCGCACGCACCCTATAGCAAAAACCTCTCAAAAAAAAAAAAATAAGAGAGGTTGAAAATCTGTGATCTAAGTATCTATCTGAAGGAGCTAAACATTGAATATTAAAGCTAAAAAATAGGGAGGCAAAGCATTAATGGGACAAAGAAATGTGGTATTATCTGTTGAAGATATTTTATAGTTTTATCAACTGTACTAGGGAGAAATATTCACCTTTTTTTTGGAGAGGTTTTTGCTATAGGGCACGTGCACTTACTTGCCAAAAAGACAGAGAGAGACAGAGAGACAGAAAGCAAAAAATCAGGTAGGGAAACATTTGAAATTTATGACAGAATGAACAGAAGTAAAATTATGTGATGATCTTAATACAGGTAAACATTTTATAAAATGCTTATTCATAACACATTTTTTAGCAAACAAGAAATAAAAAGGAACTTTTAAAATATAATAAAGGAAAGGCATAGAAAACCTACCACTTATAATATCTATTATTGTAGAGTCATAACACAAGTACTACTACATGATGTAAACCTAAAAACATTTCCTCATGA